GCCAACTCTCGAGACTCTGCTAGGATGAGCCAGTCGTCGATGTAGTTGAAAATCCGGATGCCCTGGAGCCTCAGCGGGGCCAGTGCTGCATCCATACACTTGGTGAATGTGCGAGGGGAAAGTGCTGTAGAACCGGCGTCTCTGTCTGGGGGGGAGACACGTTCCACGGCCTCTTTCCTCAGCAGAGTAAGAACTTCATGTCCCAACACCGGACCTTGCTCCGGGCAGACCACAGTCCAAACCACCCCACTGAATTTTGGAGGGCGGGTTTTGAACTGTAGTCGAAACCCATCTATGGCAGTGCGCAGGACCCACGGAGAAATGTTCGGGAGGGGAGAAAGACTCCCCTACCCCAGTCTTCAGGACCTCTTCCCTGAGCTCCGTTGTTCTTTTATTTGTGTCTCACAGTGTTGACATGTATGGCCAGGCTTATAGAACTGGTTCTATACTGCCACTGAGAACAGACCATAGAGAAGAACGTGTCAGGGCTGGTAACAGAACCCAAGAGCAGACTGGAGCTGGAGATAAACAAAGAGTTTTATTTATAGAATGACAGAGGGAAAACTGATGGGGGAGTGGGGCAAGGTCTGGGTTCCGTAGGAGAGGGCTAGCCGGGGAAGCTGGCAGGAGAGGCGAGACGGGGGCACTCCTGAGGGTGTGCTGACTGGCAGGGAAGACCTGAGATCCAGGGAAGCAGGACGGGATTCATGAAGACGAGAAACAGATAGTGTAAGCGAGCAAACAGAGACACAGGGTTACTAGACTGATCTGAGGCTGGGGTGAAGCGTACTATAGTTACACAACAATCCAGCAAGGACTGGAGAGTTGTCCAGGGTTAAATAGGGTGTGATGATGAGGAAATGCCCAACAGGTGCGCCACAGCCGTGAGGAACTGATGGCCACGCCCACCAGCTCTGGGAAACAAAGAAGGGGAGACAGACAAACACCAAGCACACAGCAACACTCAAAAGGCAAAAATCAAATAGAAAATCATTCACCCATAAGCGCATACACACACACACGCACACTGTCACCAGAGGGGATCAGGGTCCGGGAGGCATGACAGAACGTTTGTTCGGTGAAGTCATTCATATCTTGCCCCAGGCAGTAAATGAGTCGATTCTTATGTTTGTGAGGATCCTAAAAGTCAAGTACTTTGATGACCATTTTTATGCCTATGCAGTCTAAAGAACAAAAGAATATGAACTGATTACACTGGCTGAAACTTCAGATTTTCGGCCTTTAGATATTATGACAAACTTTGACACCAGTGAGCTGTATTTGAACCCAAGGTACAAAATTGTATAGCTTTGATGTTATGTTCAGTACACTGTAAATGTGTTCTGCCCTTTGGACGCAACTTTCCAATTGTTTAATAAAGCACAGATGACAATTGTTGCCTATTACCTGTTTTTAATTTTTTTCAATGCCATGTATTCTATCTCAACATGATTATATCAGAATAGACATGGTAAATGTAAGTGCATTGTTTTTATGGTTATGGACATTTAAAAAATCCAGTATTCACAAAACAGAGTTAGACAGTTAGGCACAATCTCTTTAGTGATATCAATGAGAGTCCCTAAAACAAAAATTGTCTTCACAAATGAATTTATTAATTCAAATAGATGATTGGTTTAAGTGTAATGTATTACCAATTACAGAAACAGATTTACTTACATGATTTTTTAATGTGAACGTCTAAAATGTAATCTGTAATAAATTCACATGAACACATGTACATGTTTATTTCTTGATTGCACAAATGTAAATTGTCTACACAAAAAGTTTTTAAATCATAAATTTGTAATTCCACATTAATCCATCAAAACCCAAGTAAACACATCTTTGTGTAAAAATAACACATCTGTGTGTTGACCTATTTGACACAAGAAATGGACACGAGTTGTGTCACAACATGTGTTGTTCCTGAGCTGATTCAGCACATTAATTTAACACATTATGTGTTGTTTTTAACACATCTGTTCTAAGAGTGCAGGAGATTTATGATGCCACTGCAAAGCCTCTTTTGTGATGTCACAGTGGTTGTTATTTGTTGTGATGTCACAGTGCTGTTCACCATATGTCTCTCCCTGGAGAGAAGAGGCTCTCCACTGATTAGCTGAACAGCTTGTTGCCCAACAGGCCATGAGGTTGAATGACCTCTGGGGGTGAACAGAGAGGCATGTAATTTGCTTGATGGGACAAGGTTGTAACAATTTTGTGTGTGCGTATGTGTGTGCATGATCATTAAATAGGACTGATTACGGTTTGGGATTCGTAAATGAAGCTGAAAAAGCTGTTAATATGTTAACAAAAGCATTCTGCAGGTTATTGTGCACTCTCGGTTGCTCTGCTGTCTATAGAGCGGGCTGATCTCAAGGGTATGATTCTGTGTAAAAACCAAACCATATAGTTTTGGTTGAAATTCTAATTCATTTATCTTGTTTTTACAGTTTCTACTAGAAATAAGCATTTTACAGTTGCTCGCCCATAAAAACTGTGGGCCATCTAAGCTGCTTCCATCAACAATGACAGAAATTGCATGTGAGGAAATTTAAGCACACATGATGGTAGACTGTGTGCATGTGTGTCTGTGTGTTTTATGTATGTGTGTGTGTGCCTCTGTGTCACTGTTATTTATGGTTGGCCAGCCATAAGTGTCTCTTCCAGCTCCTCTCTCTTCCATTTATACAATCATCCAGTCCAGCAGTGCACCTAACAGCCCACACCACAGTACTGTGGATGAGGGTCAGCCACCTGCTCTGCACCAAATCCAGACATCATCTACACTTTCAGCACTGAAACCACTGGAGAGCAAGTATAGACACAGAATGAAATGAAAATACACATACACAAAAGTAAATTAAAGGCTGCTCATCCAAAATGAATAGTCTCATATGACACATTTAATTTGGTATGACAATATACAGTGAGGAAAATAAGTATTTGAACACCCTGCTATTTTGCAAGTTCTCCCACTTAGAAATCATGGAGGGGTCTGAAATTGTCATCGTAGGTGCATGTCCACTGTGAGAGACATAATCTAAAAAAAAATATCCAGAAATCACAATGTATGATTTTTTAACTATTTATTTGTATGATACAGCTGCAAATAAGTATTTGAACACCTGTCTATCAGCTAGAATTCTGACTCTCAAAGACCTGTTAGTCTGCCTTCAAAATGTCCACCTCCACTCCATTTATTATCCTAAATTAGATGCACCTGTTTGAGGTCGTTAGCTGCATAAAGACACCTGTCCACCCCATACAATCAGTAAGAATCCAACTACTAACATGGCCAAGACCAAAGAGCTGTCCAAAGACACTAGAGACAAAATTGTACACCTCCACAAGGCTGGAAAGGGCTACGGGGAAATTGCCAAGCAGCTTGGTGAAAAAAGCTCCACTGTTGGAGCAATCATTAGAAAATGGAAGAAGCTAAACATGACTGTCAATCTCCCTCGGACCGGGGCTCCATGCAAGATCTCACCTCGTGGGGTCTCAATGATCCTAAGAAAGGTGAGAAATCAGCCCAGAACTACACGGGAGGAGCTGGTCAATGACCTGAACAGAGCTGGGACCACCGTTTCCAAGGTTACTGTTGGTAATACACTAAGACGTCATGGTTTGAAATCACGCATGGCACGGAAGGTTCCCCTGCTTAAACCAGCACATGTCAAGGCCCGTCTTCAGTTTGCCAATGACCATTTGGATGATCCAGAGGAGTCATGGGAGAAAGTCATGTGGTCAGATGAGACCAAAATAGAACTTTTGGTCATAATTCCACTAACGTGTTTGGAGGAAGAAGAATGATGAGTACCATCCCAAGAACAGCATCCCTACTGTGAAGCATGGGGGTGGTAGCATCATGCTTTGGGGGTGTTTTTCTGCACATGGGACAGGGCGACTGCACTGTATTAAGAGAGGATGACCGGGGCCATGTATTGCGAGATTTTGGGGAACAACCTCCTTCCCTCAGTTAGAGCATTGAAGATGGGTCGAGGCCGGGTCTTCCAACATGACAATGACCCGAAGCACACAGCCAGGATAACCCAGGAGTGGCTCTGTAGGAAGCATATCAAGGTTCTGGCGTGGCCTAGCCAGTCTCCAGACCTAAACCCAATAGAGAATCTTTGGAGGGAGCTCAAACTCCGTGTTTCTCAGCGACAGCCCAGAAACCTGACTGATCTAGAGAAGATCTGTGTGGAGGAGTGGGCCAAAATCCCTCCTGCAGTGTGTGCAAACCTGCTGAAAAACTACAGGAAACGTTTGACCTCTGTAATTACAAACAAAGGCTACTGTACCAAATATTAACATTGATTTTCTCAGGTGTTCAAATACTTATTTGCAGCTGTATCATACAAATAAATAGTTAAAAAATCATACATTGTGATTTCTGGATTTTTTTTTTTAGATTATGTCTCTCACAGTGGACATGCACCTACGATGACAATTTCAGACCCCTCCATGATTTCTAAGTGGGAGAACTTGCAAAATAGCAGGGTGTTCAAATACTTATTTTCCTCACTGTATTAAGACAGGTTATAATTACAAAGGACCAAATATATTACAGTTTTTCTCAAATGCTAAAACACATTTCACAAACGTTTCGTCCATGTTCTCCAACACAACACCCTTTTCTAAAGCTACATAAACACAACCACACCTTCTCCCTTCAAAACTCAAACTTTCACACCAAAAGAGCAGCTCGAAGCTTTCAAAAATGTAAACACTATACACATCATTACACACTACAGCAAAACAATTGAAAACACAATGCTCAATTTGTGAGAAGGTTCTTTGTTTCATAACTGCCAATGCATATTTTTAGACACTTTACAATAATGGATCTTCTTAGATCTCTGCAGAGGATTGGGCATTTAGATTTGTGAGTTTCATATGAAGAGTATAAATCTATAGTAAATTCTGTACACTACTGTAACAACTCAATGCAAAAACAGAATCTATTGCACACAACAGTACTCTTGAAAACATGATCAGGGTGTGAAGTTTTTTTTATTTATTTTATTTACACCACAATCACTGTGCGGCATCATGTCGCTGAGCTGCATCGGGCCACATCACCTCATCCACATCGCAGGCTATATTGTCTCTTGCCAGGCACCGCGGGAAAAACGCCCTGGAATGGCGGATCCATCCTTGGAAGTTCTCCACTGGGATGTCAACACACGCCAGCTCCATTGCCCTTAGGAGGTTCTCTCTAGTGTATGGTTGTCTGTCATAAACCTTCCATCTCCACGATGAGAAGAACTCCTCTATAGGGTTCAGGAAAGGGGAGTAGGGTGGCAGACAGACGTTTAAAAAGGGGTTACTGTTGGTGGTGAACCACTCTCTGATTTGGTTTGTTCTGTGGAAGCTCACATTATCGGCAATGACTTTGTCTCTGATCTCCCGGAGTCTGATGAGGTTGTTCTCACGAACCATATCCACAATGAGGGTTTCTTGTGCCGCTGTAAATATGGCAACCCTCCCACCTCTATGTGGCATTCTTTCAACTCTAAAGAAAGAAACGTGTTGTCAATTGACATGTTTTACAATACAGTAACAACTGATTTGAAACTAATAGACTACTTTCACAGGCTTGTAAAATTGTATTGTGACAAAGAAAGCAGTAGAGTACAATACCTGTTGTGTTGTGTGAATGCCCTGATAATGGTGGCCACGGTGAACCTACTCAGGTTTGGACGGACTCTTAGTCCTGCTTCAGCCATTGTCATGCCATGGACAATGACATGGTCAATGACTGTTGCTCGCATCTCGTCCGTAATGATGGTGCGAGGTTGTCTTGCTCTCCCTCCTGGACCTTCTCCTCTCCCATGTTGGCCTCCTCCTCTTCTTCCTTGGCCTGCTCCTCTTCCTCCCTGGCCTGCTCCCTGGCCTGCTCCTCTTCCTCCCTGGCCTGCTCCTCTTCCTCCTTGGCCAGCTCTTCTCCCTCCTCTGACTCGATTACCTCTTCCCCTGACTCTGCCTTCATCCATTGTGTTTATTTGGAATCTTCAGCAAACTGTGCACTCTGAACTTGCTTTTATACATGTGGTCACAGCATTAGCAACAGGTGTTTTCAATTTTGAGTCGTTGTGTGTAATGAATGACGCCAGGTGTGTTCATTTTGTTCAAATATTGCTGACTGTGGCAAGCATTTTGCATCACATGAGCTTTCATTTGAGAATAGAGTTCTTTTGCAACTTGTGTTTTAGCAAGGAAAAATGTGTTAAGATTTATGTGAACGGAGGATTGTGTTTTGTGAATTGTGTCTTCATGTGAAATGTGTTTATGATATTGGAAAATGATGGCTAGATTTAGTAAATGTGTTTAGACAACTGATCATTTGGTTTAGAGGATTGGCTTTTGTGTTTTAGCATTTGAGAAAAACTGTAATTTATAAAAATCACTTATATCTTGTCTGAAGCAAGTCCAAGCCTTTTAAAGATGAAGAACTACACATGAACTGATTCATGAAACATTTTCATAGTGCTGGCAGTGAGGGCGTCATTTTTTTGTAATTCTGTTGTGGACTGCAAATTAATTGAAAGTGATGAGTGGTTTAACAGGTGGAGCCCCTGCAGCCCTATAATTGACCCCACTTTTGTGATCCACTACTTTAGAGAGACAAAATTACTCTTAAGGCTGCATGTGAAACAATTATATTGCATAGTCCTCTAAAATGTGCTTTTTCACCACTTCATTCTTGTCACCAGAGCCCATTACAATTGCTACAATGGTCCTCATATTACAGTATCTGTATTCAGGGTTTGATATTCCTTGGGGAAATATAATATGTCTCTGCACTCACTGACAAAATGGAGAAAGCATCTGTTAAATATACTAAACTAAATCTCATTGGGTTAAAATAATCCACTGAAACATGATTATATTGCATAGAGATAAAGCGAAGTTTAACACAATAGCCAGAAAATGTTTTCAGCCAAGTCCCCATTTGAAGACCATTTTCATAAATTGGAAACAGCTTAATTCATAACCGGAGTATTCAACACCTTGCTGACTGTATAACTAACTTGAAGCACAAACATCCAAACTCCTGGCTTATTGTTCTTTGGGACTTTAAAAGAGCAAACCTCAGCCATCAACTGCCAAAAGACAGCACATAAGCGTTCCACCACTGCTACTCCACATTAAAGAATGTCGCTCTGTTCCCTGTGCAGCTAAGTAGGGACTCCCCAATCTATGTCTGGTTCATCCTCTCCTGACCTACAGGCATAAACTAAAATCTGCTAAGCCTGTAGTCAAGACTGTGAGGAGGTGGCCCAATGAGGCAAAGCTGGAGTTACAGGCCTGCTCTCACTGCTTTGATGATTGGTGTTTTTGAGGATGCAGCTGCAGAACTGGATCAACTCTCCTGACACTGTGACATCTTACATCAGTTTTTGTGAGGACGTGTGTGCCGACTAAAACCTTCTGCACATACAACAATAAAACTGGTTTACAACTAAACTGAGGCAGCTTCATAAGGCAAAGACAGGGGCCTACAGAAATGGGGTCTGAAACATAATGAAAAAATAAATCAGATTGACTAAGAGGTACTACACTGAAAAGCTGAAAAACACTCTTTCAGCTACAATGCACTGACCCTGCGTTAGTGTGGACGGCCCTGTGCTAGGGTTGGGCGATATCCACAAAATTGGAATCTACAATGAAACATTGGGTGCGGCAGCGGCGGGGGGTGGTGGTAGCGGTCGTCTTATAAAGGTATGTGTTTCCCACACATACCTTTATGAGGTAAAAAAACGTGATACTACATTACAAGACAAAGTGGACATGGTGGATATCTTACAAGCATGAACCAAGTAAAGCAACATTGAACACACAAGTGCAGATGTCATTAGTTTGTTTTGATCGTTTGATAGGCTACGTCATTAAAAAGCTGGCATGTGGTGCACCTGCTGCTATGAAAATGGAATATCCGGAAAAAAGATGAGTTCTTTATAAAGATTTTATAAAACAAACTGCTGATGGAGGAAGTCAGGGGAGCTCTCATGATCATGATGACTGCCCAACATTGTGATGTCTTCAGCCTTCAGCAGTGGATGATGGCATCGTCTATCGGCCCAACCATAGCTTGCACATCACCAGCTACAGGAGACCACCCCCCACACTGTATATACATATATATAGGCCTATATGTATAGATTAAAATAACACAATTGAATTATGTTGGAGTGAATTAAAAGTGTAAAAAAAAGTGTCAATTTCAGTATATTAGGATAATACCAATTTGCTGAAACAACACTACTATAAAAGTTGCTTCCAAAACAACCAGTTTATGTGCAACTAAATACCACAATTCATTTGTGGAAAACTTAACTTTTTTCAGAGTTCTAGCCTTAGTTCTATATAATCAACACTATAGGTGTCTTTAGGCTGTGATCTTTGTATTTATAAAAGGCTCATTCAGATGCATAATAAGAGTTATGGAACTTAATCTGCATTGCTTATCTTGTAAGCAACCCGGTCTCATTAGTCTACATACAAATAACAATTACACTTACAAATTGTGTGCAGTGCATATGCCGAAGTTTTGCCCGCAGGTTAGCATTAAACATGCTATTCCAATATTGTACTGAGGAGGCAGTCAAATCCTTGAGAAGAAATCCATTGAATCCTTGGGTTAGTGGTATTCAGTTACTCAACAAACTACAGATATTAGAAATACAAAATACTTGGGGTTTTATTAATAACATCATATTGGCTATAAGTAAAAATAATTTTGCTCTTTGTTGATTTCACAAACCATTTGCTCTTCAGGGATTACAAGAATGCAAATTTATTTTAAAATTCAACTTAAAATATAGCCTACTCAGTTATAATGAGCTAATGAGCTTATTTTCATGGCTTGATATGTAGGCCTGTCCCCAAAGGTGATGATGTTGATGGTCTGAGGAGGAGGAGGAGGAGGGGTGGGGGAGAGGAGGAGGGATATCACCAGTTAATAACCCCAGCCTCCTTTGCTGTCAGCATCATGATCGCAGAATGTACCAGGACCCCTTCACCAGCGGAGCCACGGTGTAATGACTGTCCGCGGGCAGAGCTGCAGCCCCGTGACGCATGACATTTCCTCCATCCAGTAGTTGATTTCTCCAAGCAGCGCGGGGTGAAGCTGGAGCTTTGGCACAAACAGTCACACTCAGAGGCTGCCTCTCTGGCGCGTACTTTGCACCGACACATTTTTCCGAGGCTTGTCCTTCCCTCCAGTTGGAGACTTGAAACTTAAGGGACTCTACCGTTGTAGGCAGGGAAGGGAAGGCGGACGGACGGAGAGTGTCGTGCGGTGAATGTAGCGGCAGGCTGGGTGTCTGTCTGCGGAGCGCACAGCGGCGCTGCTGGAGCAGCCGAGAACGCACAGAGTCCCGTCCGACATCCCCGCTTTACCCCCGGTGATCCGAACACGGCAAACATGATTCTCCTTGGGATTGTCCTTGTTCGTTTCTTTTCAGGTAGGCTACGTTCAGTGATTTGATTATTAGCCTACAATAAAAGAGAGAACTCAGTGACCAAGCACAGTCTTTGTTTAGATGCTCCTTGACTCGCAAGTTAGATGGAGGTGAGGATTGAGAGTGGAAAGCCGCACTTCATTTGTAGCCTTAATGTTGCTTCAAGTAAAGAGACTTGCTTAGAGCCGTGGGTTTTTTCCTCGCAACTTTTTAGCATTGTAAAAAAATGTTTCAAATGGCCGTAAATCCTCAAAGATCATTTCTGTCTCAATAATCAACTTTTTGGCTGTGGTCCTGTGCTCTTAGTTCAGGCTAGACAATGCATCTCTCAGCTTTGTCCAAAACGCCACTAGGCTACGCCCTTCCAGCGCCAAGCCCCAAACTGAAAGTTTAAGAGGATGACTGAACCCGGAAACATGCTGACTGACAGGTACCAAAACCTCAGGGCTGGAGTTTATAGTTTGGGTCCTGGCCCTAGATATTTTTTCTTATAGTTTTATAAAAGCTCAAATAATCCTCTTTGTTAGAAAGAAATACATAAAATAACATTTTACATTTATAAATGAGCGTTTTACAGTGTCAATACTGTCATTTTTTAAAAGCCATATTTGCCCCATTTGCAGATGAAAAAAGGCGAAAAATTAAATTAATAAAATGTTTTAAGGTAAAAAACTCAAAAAGAAGTGATTTTGAGAAGCAGTCTTCATGATAAATAGAAAACAGATACATCGGAATGGCGGAATTGAACAGAATTGAATGACAGATACCTTCATTGTATACATTCAAATCTCTTTAAATGTGGCATGTAGATTCAGAGGAAGGTTTAAGTAGTAAAAAAGGGCTAAAACAACAGAATCTGATCCTCCGCAGACCAGAGTGAAGCCTGCACCTCAGTTTGAATGACTAAGGTATTTAATCATTTTATTCAAGCTGTGTTTGAGCAAAGATTCATTTAAAAATTTTCATGTCATATTGTAACTACTCATGGGCCTTTTTGATGATCACTTTGTGATAAACAAATTTGCGCGTGATATTGTCCTTGTTAAGTTTATTCCTTTTTCTGTTTGTGTGTTTTGTGTAGTTCAGTCTGTGTATGTGCTAAAACCTCGTTCTTTGACACTGGGAGTGATCATGACTGAACAAAATGTAAACAAATTACTTACCAAAAATCAGAAGGTTCAATATATGTGGATGAAACACAAGTCTGATGGGCCGTGTCAGTGGCCCGAAATCCTTTCTTAGCACCTACAATAAAGACAGTATGCAAATCCTTCTAAGGCCTGAAGATTAGATAACAGCAGTAGGCGGTCACATTCTACGCATTGTGGGTAAATACATATTAATAAAAATGATTGTTAGAGATAAATGCATGAAACTGATCTTTATCTTTAATCAACATAAATGTTAAAATACACTGAGTACACAGAGAGAGAAAGCATGAAACAAAAAGTGCAAAATTGAAATTTTGTGCTCTGTTATTGTGAGAGCCTAGGGGCCACTTTCTAATAGTGCTTCAACAGGACACACCCTTATCTGGCTGTTGTTGGGTGTTTTTCATAGTTCAAGTCTGACCTAGAGAAAAAAAGCCAAAACTATCTTTGCTCACTCTCAGATGTGGACATTTAGTACCACTCAAATGTACTCAATGTTTGTTTACATTTTCTTTTAATTCAGCATCTACACATATGTTAAATCAGTGAGGTGAGGTCTGTGCAAATGATTTCTAAGTTCTTCATGTTTTCTTCTTATTATTAAAACAATTCCAGTTTTTGTACTATTGTTCCGCTGGTGGTTCCCAACCTTTTTGTCAAGTATTTTACCACAATGTTTGTAGTTGATGTTTGGCTGTGTGTGATTTCATACAAGACACCGAGTTCCTGGAGTTGTTGATGTTCAGGTCGGTTTTTTATTGTGGCATTTTTTGCAGTAGTTTTGGTTTAGTTTGCAGTTGTACTTTTACTACTAGGTGTGGCAGAAACTGAAAGCTTTAATCATTTATCCATTACTTTAGCTTTATGTTGGTCTCTTTCTAGCTACTTTTCATGCAGTCTCAAGGGCGGCTGTTACAACTGACTCGGTCGGTGGATGACTGAGGTGTCTTGTGCTGTCAGACTACCTAGTTGGTAGGTTATTGTGACAATAAATGTACTAAAGATCAGCCTGACACCAATTTGAAAGCAAATCTTTGTGTTTATTTTCCTACTAAACACACATATATGGACACGTTATATGGAATCATGATTTATACCTTTTTAAATTTTTCCAATTAGCTCAACTCCTCCACAGCCATATACCCCTGGTAACAGCAGGAGGATTATCTCACAGCTGTAGAAGGACTGACATTGTGAGAGTGGTCAGTACTGCAGCCCTGCCCCACTGTGTTCAATAGTCATGTTAATGATTGTCCAGCTTATAGTGACACTGTAATGTTGAGTGACAGGCTCATATATCACCCTGTCTCTGCGTCAGGTTTACCCTCCCTCCCTCAAGGCTTTCAGGTTGTGTCTGAGTTTCCTTTTTTTCAATCTCAATCTAAATTTCCCATTGGATTCAGAGGCGCGTCAGAATAAATTGTTCAAGTCGTTCAATGAGGAAGTGCAGTCAACCGGAGCCAGTGTGCAAACACATTTGGAGCAGTGGTGGTTGACATCTTATCGGTGCGCTGGCAGGTGTGCATGTTTGTGTGTATTTTTAGGGGTGGGAGGGTGCGTGACAGGGCTCATTTTGCGTAGACACCACAAGTGGGTTTTTGAAGACCTATACTGATACCGATACTTAGGGAGTGAAGCTGCCCACAAGGAATATTTAACTTGTCTTTTAGATAATAATATACCGTTTTTCTTTGTTGGTTCCCCTTAAAGATCTTGAAAACCTTTCTCAATCACCAATCAAAATTTTGAAACATGATCAAGCTTCACCCACACACTCCAGATGAAGCAGATTAGCTGAGTTTTAGACTCTTGAAAAATAGTACCTAAATAATTTTTTCCTAACTTCACATTAGATTATTGTTTATTTTGTTCACGAGGTTTAGAAACTAAGTTTTCAGGGGCAGCTTTGAGGTAATTAAAATCATCTTATTAAACACTGTCTTGCACATATGTCTCTATCTTTTCTTCCTGTGTTCTGTGTACTCGACCCTGGCATTCTCACCATTATAAACCTTTTCATTCAATAAAAGTTTCTTGCAGAAGAAAATTAAAGCTATCCGAGCCCTTACTTGGTTGGAAAAGCAGCACAGAGATCAAACTGTTTAATTTTAATAGAGATATTTGTATCATCAACTCCTGTGTCATAACTGTCTGTAAATCATTGCTTTTTGTGGAGCAATTTATACGACAGGAGTTAAACACAGCACAGCTAATAAGCTACGATAGCTTCCTCCATTTTGGACTCTGTTTGCTCTCTGTTCCCTTAAAGGTGAGCACTGTCAAGACAGCTTGCTGTTGGTCAATGGCACAAATTGGCAGACAAAACATTGTAGGAATTTCAGCAATTCCTTTTGGAAGTGCCATTTTAGGGTCTGTGTCCACCGTTCTGAAAAAAAAGCTGTCTTAAATTACTGGGAGAGTAAGAGTGATTCTTAGCTTTAAGAAATTTGATAACTTGCTTTTATTCTTAAGTTTAAAAGTAGGAGTAAATTTCATGAATTAGGACACTTAGGACTAAAATTGCACTTTGAGAAGCTTGATAAGGCCCAGGTCTTTAGACATGAATAAGCTCCTCCAGAGCAACTACAATTTTTTTCACAGGTTGAGTAGAACTCATAACCAGTGAAGTAACCTTTATGTGAAAATTAATAGAACAACCCTTTAAATAAAAGGTTACCATCTGCTAACCTTTATATTGATACACTGTGTATGTGTTATATTGGTCTAACTTTAGACGTTACCTCATTTAAACACACCACCTCCACTTTTAGCTCATAAAACACACACAGAGACACACAGGTGTCAGGTGTTTCAAAGTGTAGGCTAGAGGCAATCTCACTGTACTAACACACCTATTACTGATGATTTTACAGAAACTGCTGGGGTGTGTGTATGACCAACAGGAGAAGTAGGTAGATTAGAGAGAGAATGTCTTATCTGTATTGATCTCCAGTGACAGATGATGACGTCTATGAAGAGCAATGAGGCCAGAGAAATGAGCATCATAAACCTGCTTTGACGATAAGTGTAAAAGCTGCTTGGAATAGGAGAGGCCATCATCCCGTGTCACGAGAGAGAGAGGGGGAGAGGGAGAGGGAGAGGTGAATGAACGTGGTGAGATGTGAGGAAATCCATCTTCCTTCTCCTGTCACATTTAATGAAAAACTTACCTGGCCTCCATCCACCTGGTTCCATCTGATCTGGATGCGAGGTTTGTGGTGTGTGCATGTGTTAGTATATGTGTGTGTGATAGTGTTCTTCTCAAAGGGAATGGTGTATCCAAGGGGTAGTTTAGAGGTCTTCTGTGTGTTTTGCTAATAACTGGGATTTGGAACTCAAACATAGGGGCGGCAGATGGTGTGTTGGCTTCTCTTTCTGTGGCTGTGTGTGCATCAAATGTATGAACAGGAAGAGTGAGTGCTGTGTGTGTGTGTTGGAGTGTCCTTACTCAAACTCAGTCAGTGGTCCCCGAAGGTACCACGGCTCGATGTGGTCAGAGCCTGTGCTGATCCCAGGTCAGCCGAGGCCTGACCTCAGGCCCATCTGCCATCATTATGACAGATGTGTCAGAGAGTGGCTTCAGATCTGTGGCTGGACCCACAATCCCCAGTTAGTGTTTCTAAGAGACTGCCCTCCCTGTTGGCAGGAGGACCTCTGCCAGACATTTAGTTTGGTTCTTTAAATGCTAAATATGTTTGGAAACACACATGAATGAAATGTGTCTTCTACTCTGTTGTTTGTCTAACGGTAGGAGAAGGAAGTGCCAAAACATATGATAAAGAGGAGTCTGAGACATTGCCCATGGAAGTAAATAATACCTTTCCAAATCACATTTCAGCACAAAATCAGTGT